CACCGTGTATTCAATGTCGTGGGAGATTTACTATATTCGTAAGTATTCATTTTGGTGTGCCATTTTCGGCACAAAGCGTGTACATCTAGACACATTATTCTCAAGAAATATAATTATTTGGTGATGAGATTATGTGTCACCAATATTGTTTGATATTCTGCAATCTACACTTTCTGAATTTGCATTGTTATTGTTTTATAATCACGGATCTAACATATATACTTTCTTGGCTATTGTAATTATAGTGAATCATCGCTGACGATGTGTTTGGGTGGTCCATATCCCGTGGTAAGTGCTAGTCCCTCACGGGTGTGGACGCAATTCGGTATAGCCGATTTGCAAACATAAAATATTTTAGCCCGTACTTGTTGTATAGCCTGAACAGTAGCCTGAACACGACTAGTAACAATACGTGTGTGTAATTGACGTCGAACAATATTTGTGAACGGAAGTCAAACATTTGATTAGTGTAGCCTTTCATATGCAAAATCTTTAAAATTTGCTGGTTATTCAATTCTCTCTTTTTTTCCTTTTTTTTATTCTGCTTATTGTATTCTGTATTTTGAATATTTCATTTCATTTAATTTTATTTCTATTTCCTGTTAATAATTCCATTTAGTTTGCTTTTGGTTGTTCTTTAAAATTGTAGTCACCAAGAAACCGTTCTATCAAATTCATAAATGGTCTGCGACTGACATATAAACTTATTGACTGCCCTCAATAATCGTTGCTGAGACGGCTCTTTCTTGGAACATCCAGTTTGCGAATAACCACTCTGTAAATGAACAGACGAATACAAACCAGTTTATTTAGTGTTTCCTCATAACACTTGTAAATATTACTCACATTGGTAGTCTGTGCAAAGTTTAGCATAACAGTCAGCACTAAGGACGCTATGTCCACGATTCTATTTTACTTCTGTTTAAGCAGTACCATTAGTTGTGGAAGTACGCATATCGTATTCATTAAGGTTAACAAGTAATCCAACACACCAACGAGTTATTACTCTTACTAATGTCCGAAACACAACTATTTGACGCTCTTTTGTTGTGACATTGTCCATGTGATTTGTGATAAGAACAATGAGGAAAATAAAATCTGAACACTAGAGGGCAGTATGCAGACTGCTAACTCATGCATTTTAGGTTATGTTTTGTTACATAACCATTGAAGTGAAGCGCAATAAAGTCCCGTCATACTAGCATTACAGCACTTTATAAACTGTAAATTACAATTATGCAAATACTGATACAATGTATTTGTTTAGAGGGAGTAGACTTAGTAAATGTAGTGATGTAAGCTTGGACTTGAAATGAAAATAAAACAAAGTTGTACGTATTCAATAAACCCAAGCTCGGCCCTGTAACTCAACCCTGTAATTCAATTCAGTTATTCAATCCAGTAACTCAATCTAGTAACTCAACCCAGTAACTCAATCCAGTACCTCAACCCAGTAACTCAATCAAGTAACTCAACCCAGTAACTCAATCCAGTTATTCAATCCAGTAACTCAATCCAATAACTCAACCCAGTAACTCAATCCAGTTATTCAATCCAGTAACTCAATCCAGTTACTCAACCAAGTAACTCAACCCAGTAACTCAATCAAGTTATTCAATCCAGTAACTCGCTTGAACACTTTTCATAACAGGTACATGTATTCAATGTATTACTATAGTTATTCAATAAACTCAAGCCAGTAAATCGACGTAGCACGTGTTATTATAAATATTCAATAAACTGAAGTCAATAA